GATCAACTAAACACTGACAGAAAACACATTAAAAATGTCTAGCGATGATAATGATAACAACATAAATTACGCAACCGCAGCTATTGAAAAATGTAATATTACTTTGAAAATAATCACAATTTCAATAGATACACTATATGGTTGTAATTAAGATGTAAAGGTATCCACACACCTGTGCGATTCCGTCGGAGCGGATCCGCACCATTTTTGAAGCTACAGAGTTAACTACTTCGAAAACGCAAGAGCGCACACATCTGTGCGATTCTATCGCAGTGAAAAATGTCTTTTTATAAACAAACAAAAAATATTTTTCCACAAAAACTTTTATTCTTAGCATTTCTACAATAAACACGTTTCGTTTTCTTACGTTAATTTTTGTTTTAACTTTACAAAATCCTTCCGCTGACCTATTTAGTTCTCAAAGCGCGGCATTCTGCGATTTCGGTACGACGCAAAGAAGAACTGTGAATGTTCGAATAAATCGCTGCAAAAGAATCGCGTAGGTGTGTGGATACCTTAAAGTTCAATTCCGAAAACACTATTCATATTGGAGATACTACTGGTTTATTTGGAAGAAATTAGGAAATTATAAGGAAATTTTATTTATTTACTACAATTGCTCATAAACGTTACTATCAACCGAATGTTTAAAGCAAAAGGAACAAAATTCATTAAATATCGACATATAATACCAAACATTATTTGATATGAATGGAAATATATTGACGACAGGAGTTGTTAACTCTGATCAGTGTAGGTTGTGCAACGAAGAACAGGTAACAGCAGAGCACATTATGTGCTACTGTGAAGCTCGCGCTTTCTTCTTGCGATCCACGTACCTAGAAGCACGCAACTTAAATGCCGTTCAGCCAAAGGATCTCCCAAAATTTCTTAGCAATACACCAACTAGAGCTAAGTTAAATAGATTATTTCAGGTGGCGGTAACTAGATGACCTGCCTCCCTCCGCTAAATCTATAATCTATTCTAAATCTGGGATCACACGATTTGTACATATTTGCACATTTTCACAGTAACAGAGTGGGGTTGTTTGGAAATTTTTTTTTATTTTTTAAGAAATTTCTAGACAACACCACTCTGTGTCTGCCAGAATGTACATTTCTCGACAAATGTACAAATATACATATGTATATTTAGATATGTTCTTTATCAACAACTTCTCATTAATATGTTATATATAAGTAATGATGAAGCCAAGAGTATTCCTATAATTAAACGTCAACATTTTGAAGGCATTATATTTATTGTAAAATGCAATGCGAACCATTTATGTATATACATAAATACTAAATGTATATAAAACAATATGTATTGGTGTCAAACCGTGAAAACTTGCACTTGTCATGCTCAATGGAAAAGTTTAAATATTATTAATGCTATAGCAACAGATAAAACTATAGATGTATTTTTTTCCGAATTTATGTTTGGCTAGATATCAACAAATACCGTTAATTCTTGCATCATTTCAATTTTCTCATAATCAACATGTAAAAATAGAAACTGTTGGCAGTATGAATTAAAGAACGTGCCTTGATTTCATAATAGAAACTTAAAATGAAATATAATTTTATTATTATATAATCAACATTTATTTATTTAAAGCAAGTATTCTCATCAGCAGTGAGTCAAAATTAATTTGAAAAGACAAAGTTTTCCGTTACGTGTATGCGAGTATACGAGTATGAAATAGAAATTTTAGTAATCGCTCGAAATAAAAATCAATTTTTATTATTATTTTTTCTCTATTGATACAAGAGCTCGTGTTTTTCAAAAACTAAAATTACATTGCTTTGATAATAAATATTTGCAACATAACTTGATCATTTTTTATTTAAAATGTTTTTATTTTTTGCCAAGAAATTTTTACACCAATGTGTCAAGGATGCGTTAATTCAATGCAAAAAAAAATAAACCAAACTTTTGTGAATTGAAATTTATACTTTTCAATTACTTTAAATTAATAAGAAATGCTGGCAACAATATATCAAATACATGCTAGTCAACTTGAAATGCTAAACTGTGAATATTTAAAATAAAAAAGGGCCTAACTTCATCATTTTTAACATTGATTACGATTAAAATTTATATTTATCTAAACTTTTTTAATGACTTATGGCAGTCAAAAAAGGTGAAAGAGCTTCTCGACAGGTGGCGATCAGGAGAGCTGACGTCTTATGTGCTTCACAAGCACTTAGAAACCGAATTAGAGCTTGAGTATGCCCGGAATTATTCCATGGAACATTAACTCATAGAATTCGATTATGTTAAATGTTCCGCTCTATACGACATTAAAATCATGAGCCGAAATCGAAGAACGTATAGTGATTTTGAGTTCAAAGTCAGCGTGGAAATAAACTTCCGCGATGTTTAGTTGCATTAGGAAATAAATTAAATAAATAAAGGAAATTAATATATTTACACTTGGTTTATTCATTCAATAAATATATTATAGGTTTGTTTATATATTTTCATATTCACCTTTAATTATATTTTCTGTATGTTATGTCGGATATTCGAGCTTATCACTGAAAGATAAGATCACAATCGATTGGTTATATCATCATCATCATGGATTGCAATGGAAGGATGGTAACTCAACACTTAAAAATGTACAAAAGTTTTAAGCTACTATGAAGATTGATACTGAGAAAGCTGTATTTATAAAGCAAATAAATCTCTTGGAGACAGATCTCAAAGCGCTGCCTAAATAAGGAAAAGCCTATCGATTGAAGAAACTGAATGTAATTCGGTTAAAAACAGAGATTCAGCCTATATTGAAATATTTTTTTAAATAAAATAATCATTTTATATACAAGTTTGCATATTATATTCAAACCTGAAACCGTGAAATAAGTAAAGTGGAACAGGGGCGAATGTCAAGCGTTTCTATTGCCTTTAACACAAAAGCTTTGATCTTAGCTTGTGTTAAGCGCCACCTGGTGGGCAAAAATATTACACATTTAGTAAACAAATATAACTGTGGAAATGAAACCTTACTACGAGCATATTCCGTAAAGAACCAAGGAAACCAGAAAGGTGAACTTCAAAAGAGAAATTCTTTATAAACAGCGATTATAAATAAAGCTGTTAATATTTACTGAGAACTACATATGTAATGGCTAGCAGAAATTATCAGGGTATTCATATAAACGCGTAAATGCCTCGTAAATAAACCGGTTTAACGTACAAAATTAAAAAAAAAATGTACGAGGTTTACGTGGATATAAGGCTTTTACGCGTTTAGATGAATTGCCATTATAATTCAAATCTAAAAAAATATATTTAGATATTTGGTTTTTTTTTGTGTTTTTTTTTGTCAAATCAGCGGCACTGCACCGCGTAATTGTAGCCAACCCTATTTTTGCTATATGTGTACTCAATGCTTATTCTTCTTGTTTTTTTCCAAAAAATTGGAATTGAAATAATTCATTGGATAAGTAAAAAAAAATGACACAAAGCGCTTGTTTGAGTTCAGGCTTCCCAAAAGCCAACCAGTCTCTTTGAAGCTGCTAAACTTCGAAGGAAACAAGTCGTTCGTCATGCGATTAATTAAAGTTTTACGTGAAGATGCTATTGAAAAGAAAATATTTTTTCAGTCAATTTCAATATGTTTGCTCCACTAAATAGATTGTAGGTGTGTAATTTTATTGGAGATTACAAATCTCAAAAGGATTGCTACAAGCTCGGTTGTAGCATCAACGGTTGAAATGATTAGTGAAGTATAACGCACGTGTAATTCACGCCATTCTTCCCTTTTTTTATTAATTGTTTTTTTTTTTTGTTGTAAGCTGTTAAGGAAATGTTTTAACATTACATTTGCATTTGTTAATATGTTTGTTATAGCAAACTTTAAAAAACAAATTTCTTCAAGCATAGGAATTAATAAGAAAAAGTTATAGCTCCTTCCTAAAATCGAATAATTCGGCGCCATGCCTAAATTAACGGCGTTTTAGACAGAGGATCAACAGGAAGCGTTTACAAAATACCTAATTCCTTAAACAACTGCCTCAAATACTGGCTTGTAATGCTTTTTATAAAAACCAGTGGTAAGATAAGCAAATGTACAGTAATAAATGTTAAATGGTTCATCTCCCGGGCTAGTTTAGAAGGTAGAGTATGCCAGAAAATACGATAAAATAAAGATACATACATATCTATGTATATGTAACTATTAAATTTTAAAGTTAAAACTATGAAGGGTGGGTTTAATGTATAAATACTTAATTTAATTGCTAAAAGTACATTTTTTCAATTAAGTAAATAATGTTCTCATGCAATGAAACGTTTGTTAAATCTAATTTGTTTTTTTCTTTCGTTTGTTGTTGCGTTCTTATAAAGCTAAGTTTCCAGCCGTCAAGAAAAATTACAGGAAATTGTTTTTATTATTTCCGTTTTAAATTTTCTTGAAAAAATAAATATATCTACGAAGACTTTTTTTTAAGAACTGCAAGCTCATTCACTTAAGATTTGTTTTCCCATTTCTTGAGCATTTTTTTTTCATATCACTTTGTAGGTTTTCTTGAGAGCTAGATACTGTGCTTAAGAGTTGAATGTTTGAAAAATAATTTTTAGCAAAAAATATAATATTTGTAGCAACTTATATCCGGAAATTCGATACCGCTTACGTTATTATTGCAGCATTCAAAGTTCTATTTTATACCCCTTCACGCAGTATACATCTTCACCCATTTCGTTGCTTAGTTGGCACTGACAATGGTAACCGCATTTTAGTACTGAGTTCCTGTTCCAGAGTTCTGCTTGCCGTTGCGTTTTCGTTCGCAGGCCTCCAAATTATTTACGCATCTCTTTCAGTGATTTCGTCTGCTCTTACAGCAATTGAAGTGTCTCAAAAAGAGCTTGGCCGATCGGAGGCTATGCAATTGTATTTTCACAGTAGATCCTGGATTAATGCTTTGCTTTAAGATTTGCTTGAAATACCAACAAAACGCTCTGCTTCAGGTGAATTCGTCTCCTTTTCCGACAAAGAAAAATTTATTCGTAGTCGTGTTCTTCATCTGCTTTTCCAACAACTAAGTTGTCCATCAAAGAGATTTGATAATTTCGAGATTATACTTTTTTGAAGCTTATTCTAGTGTAAATTCCGTTTTGGTCAGACTTCTTCGAAAAATTTTGACTTAATCACTGAAAATAGAAGAAAAAGGCAAATTTATTGTAATTAGTACAAGAATGCATAAATATACAAGTAATTTTTAAGCAAAAAACAAAACCGGCTTCATTTCTCATATTCAAATTTAGATGTACCGTTATTTTTCTATGATCCAATGATCGAATCTAAACCAGATTAGTATGGGGCCACTTCTGAGACACTACCTTTCCAATGCAAAAATAAAAAAATAATATTTCGACGAATTGATAACCTGCTTCTTTTTTTGAAGTCGATTGAAAAGTATGTTTCGAAATATATACAGTGATCATCTAATGTAAGCATACTCTGACGTTTTGACGCTTTTATTTATTTGTATCTTCCATACAACGCATGAACACAGTCTTTTTTTATTTGAAATAAGGTACGAAAATTTCGATGAAAGTTTCTCGCATTTTCCCTAGTTCTGTGTGAAATTTAAAAAACATTTATAATTATGGTTTTTGCTGTGGGATGAACTATTTTTTATAAAAACAAAAAAATTATAAAAAATATTAACATTTTGGTATGGAAAATGTAAATAAATAAAATCGTCTAAACGTCAGGGTATACTTACTTTTGATGCTCACTGTGTACATATACTTAGACATGTATGTAGGACTAAGTTACCTATCTAGAAACTTATCTATAGCCTTCTATGAATAAACCCTGGTAACCCTTTTAGTACTATACTCCTACTTCATGTTTCAGTTACAAATACTATTTCACCTATACTTTTACTAAAATGCATCCAAAAATACCGAGCTCCTAGCGGTTCAAATAAACTCACTAATCAATCCATTCAATGTTAGAACAACCCTCCAAAATTGTCACCAAAATAGGTAAAAACAAGCAAAAGATCATAAAAGTTAAACAATATCCCGAGCGTCTTTTGCAACCAACTCGACTGCAGCGCCATCTGGAGTATTTTTTGCAGAAATATTTGGTTTATAGAAGAAACGCAGATTCTGAAAATAAATCCCATGGCACTATAAATGCAGGTTATATATACAAACCAACTAGAGCGCCACCCATTTGCTGTTTTTTTTGTGTGTCGAAATGGAGCCTCGAAATACTAATTCAATAACTATTTTTACTCCAGCGCCATCTACAGTCACCAACTATAGTTGAAAATGAGCGCTTTGCTGGTGTGCATTGCCTTTTTGAGCATTCTAGATATTTTAAATAGACGTACACAGGGTTAAAACCGCAGAGGTCCCAATACCGGTCGAAACGTTAAGAAAGATAAGAATTACGAAAACCAAGGCAAGGAAATTACGCAGCAGCAGAGACCTATCGTACGTGCCCTTCTTAAGCGCGTAAGCTGTGGAAATTTTGCCTGAAAATGGGCGTTGAGTAAATGCACCTTACAGTTTTGTACCAAAAATAGCACCAACGCTGTCACTGCCGCTGGCGAAAGAAGTTAGCTAAAACACGAACTTGCCAGGCAAAGTGTGAAAACAGAATTTTTTTATATACAATTTTCAACTTAGAACTTGTGCGTCTGTTGCAACAATTTGCTTACAAAAGTTCAGTTGCCTTACGGTGCAACTTTTCGGTCCGGCCTATTAAATGTCAGTTACAGTAGCAAAAAATATGTGAAAAAAACCAAAGAAACTATCCTCTATTGGCATTGCAACACTTTGGTAGCAGCAACCAACAGCAATTATGGTCATAAAGTTGCAACAGAACAAAAGGCAAGCCAACCACGGAAGTAGTCAAATGACCAAGCTATTGAGAGGAAAGGTGTGTCGTGTGAAGAAAACGTTAGCAAGAAAGTAAATGGCAGTAGTTATACTTGCGTCTGCTGACCACAGCGCATCAACGGCGCCCTTGATTGCTGTTGCGCAACGCAGCGCCGGTCATTACCAAAAACCAACGAAATCATGTTGCATGATGGCAATGACATCAGCAACAGTATCAGTGGCCGGCTACACTATCTCTAATAAGAATTTCTGGTCTTGTGGTGTTGTATCTTTATATGCGCCTAACTGTGTGCATTTTTTATGATTAAGTGAAAAGCCATTGACTGGCTTTTCATAGCTCTAACCTACTGGGATTTTTGTGTGGTCGTAAATGAGCTGTTAGTTAGTCGTTCGGTCGGTCGGCATAGCCTGGTGTGACCTTTGCGACTTTGTTTGCTGTAGCCATCAAAAGTTTTTTGCGCCTAATAAAACCAAAGTCGAAAAAGAAGACTGAAGGGAAAACCAAAAAAAACAACAACCAACTATTGCAAGACTGAAACCACAACAATTTGACTATTTATATTTGTTATAATTTTTTATTTCTTCTTTTGATTAGGTAACGTTGTTAGTTTTTTATTTTTTATATCTTAGTACCACAGAATTCAGCTTTAACGATCTGTTGACAAATTCGTAATAATTGTAATAAAAGGTAATAGGCGGGCTCATTTTTATAACACTTCAAAAGAGTGTATGGTTTTGAGTTAGTTGATTTAAATTATATGTACTGAAACTAAGATATTGCGCATTTTCTGCCACACAAACTATTTTGGACGATTTTGGAAGAAAATGAGCAACAAATAACTCAAAAAAAAATAATCCAAAAATCAGCGGTAAGTCCTAGCTACTTCAGATTTCCACTTCATTAAGCTAAACTTGTATGGGCTACAAAACTGCGTACTAAAAATCTTTCTAAGAAATATACATAATTCAAACAGCTCGGAATTTTTCCGAAAATTTATATTTTTTTTAATATTGCACAAAGTTTGAAACTTAGATTTATACGGTTTTTGTTAAAGAATAAACTATATTAAAGATATAGCTAAAATTAAATAATAAAAATAAACTTGTCAGTGAGTGGTGCGCTTATAATTATGACACGGGGAGTATATTTTACAACACATTACTTAACCGTTCCGGTTAATAATTTCGCCTAATATAGAGTTCGTTTACTAGTGCCTCGAACAGCAGCCCAAGTTCTTCAGACTTCAGTAAGTCCATTGCCTAAGCGAGTGACATAAATAAAGGGGGAAAAAATATATACTTTGATAGCAAAGCTGCTCTCTGATGAAACGCTCCAAATTAGTCAAGGAGCGTTAGACCTTCATCTATCGTACTAACTATTTTCTGCCGAATTGGTAGGAAGGGATAATTCACTATTGGACAGATGGTCTTCATATCAGCTCACCGAACGATGCATGAAATCCAGAATATGTACAATGGCAAGGTTCTTCGGTCCCAGTGTGGATCGGCGGCGGTCCTTATGTTTCGTTAGCACAGGTCGCACTTTTAGCTAAGAAAAATAAAGCCCGTTCAAAGAAAGACAAGGAAATATTTAAAGGAGGTAAGTGTTTCGCAAACTACCATGGGACCATACCTGCAAAGTATTTAGATAGAGATAGAGAAGGAAATCAAGATGTAGGTGGTGATAGAAATATATATTTAGAGAGCAAAAGATATGGTGATGGATATGAAGATGGAGATATATTTCCATTGAGATTGAGATTGAGATCGAGGTAGAAATAGCGAGCGAGATAATGATAAAGATTGAATCAGAGGTGGACAGAGGTAGAAAATTAATAGAGACACAGAGAGATGTAAAGAGAGGGACAGATAGGGGAAGGCATAGAAATAAGGATAGAGATAATGATAAAGCTATATTTAGGCAAAGAAAGAAAATAAATCTATACACAAATAGAGATACATAGATGTAGAAGTGGGGAAAGGAACGGGGAGAGAAAGATAGAGTGAAATACATACATCGAACTTCAGTCAATCACCATGGATATTGTGAACCACAAGTTATCAACACCTGGAAACTGGGCTCTTCAACCATTATTAGCTCCTTTGCACTTTTCAGCTCGATCTGGTGGAAACTAAAATCCCCAAAAAATGGTGTCGGTAAAAATATCTATTTTTCCAAAACCAAAAATTTTTCTCCTTTCATGCGTTTTTGTAAAAAATTGTGCACTTAAGAAAAATGTTAGTACAATATTTTTTTCGCCAACTAAAAATCCATTTTATGCATTTCTTGTGTAGGTAGAAGCACATAAAACTCTTTAGCTTTTTGCACATACTTTTTAATTAAACTTAACATTTCTCTTAAAAGCAAAAGCCAGTTAACCCGCCGATGCATTCTAGGTAATCCCCCAATGCAGCACGAGACAAAAGAGATGCCTCAAAAATGCCAACAAATAAATCTATATGTCGCTTAATTGAGTGTTCCGGTCACACGCAGCACTTGCACACACACTCAAAAACGCAACTAAAGCCGACCAACAAAAAAAAAATACAAAAAAAAAGCGAACAGCTACAACTCAATAAGTTGAAATTAATACCATCAACATTGCTCTGCACTCGAAAGGATACACGAAAGGACAATAGGCAAAAAAAAGTAACAAGGATGCATTACCGCCACTGTTGCTGTTACTGCTTTACTGCTGCCCCTGCTGTGTTGCACATGCGTGCGGTTTCTGTTTAATTGCGATTGTCCAACGCTTCCGGCTGTTTCTCTGTCTGCTGTCTGTGCGTTTGTGTTTCGCGGTAAGCGACCTGCAATTAACCCATGAATGTGCGAATGTAATGCAATTAAAGGAGTCGGTGGAGGGCGAAAGAAGCGTACATATTTAGCTGGGGCCATTCGCATGCACGCACACACACGCGCGCGACTAACATTGCAAAAGGGCAAATGTGCGTGTCACGCAGGTCGCTGCTATCGCATCGAGCATTTGTTGGCGTCGCGCATTTTCACGCTCAATTATTATTAAATATTTTAAGTTTCGCATTTACATAATGAGCACGATTTTACGCGCATACCAGAGCGCATCCGAATGCATTTGGCTCCACATGAGCGCTTGTGTGTGTGTGTCTGTACCATCGTAAATACACGCTTAATTGGCGCACTGCAACAGCAGCAGCTAAAGCAGCTGCGATGCGGCTCTGCCCTAATGGGATTGCAATTATTTGTCGATAAAATAAAATTATATCGCATTTTTGCAATATTTGCGCGTTAAACTTAATGCGCTCACACACAAAAA